CTTGTGGAAGCGCTGGGTGCAATTTCTCCAGATTACCTCAACAAATTAACAGCTAGAATGCCAAAGATTAATTGAAGTGAATCAAACGTTCACAAGATGCCTTCTACTAACATTGTTGTAGTTAGCCCATAAAAAAGTAATAATAATCTTGTTCAATGTTGGGAATAAAGGATAGTTCAATCCATGATCAAATTGTTGTACAATTTTGCCACAAATTTTATTTTCTTAGATGATGTAATTTTTCAGGGACTTCACATGCTTTAAATATAAAAATGAAAATGTTAGTAATTGCAGTTCTAAGGTAATTTGTATAAAATCCTCATGGGGTGAGGTAGCAAATACAGGAAGTGAGGCTGTCTGTGTTTACCTCAGACTAAAACTTTTTGTTTATTACATCAAGCATAAATAAACTATCCTACTTGACTTTCAGTATGCTTTTCTGGTAACAAAATATGGGTATGCTGATCTGACACTTAGTGTCAGACTAGCATACGCCTATGCAAGTGTGATGTCTTGTGCATGGGTATTGACTATAGGTATGCTGGTCTGACGAAGTATGCTATATGACAGAAAAGCCGGTCACATTTTCTGAAGTGAAGTACAATTGTGAGTTGTGTTTCTTGCAAATGAATGGTCACCTTTATGTAATATGCAGTTACAGGACTCTTACAAATGGATTTGAAACCAATGATAAGACTGATCCTTCCACTTAAGCACTGTAGATCATTTGCTAAATATTTCATATTTATGGGACGATTACAATGGGTTTACACATTAAAATGAGAACACAAAGCATACTTTGGCCGGTGAAATGGATTTTAACATTGACAACAACGCCTTCCATTTATATACCTTACGATCTGTGCTGTATGAGTGCTTATGCAATTTAAGTAGTTGCTCTTCTTCTCAATTGTTTTCAAGATGTTTATTGAGAGACATGCTCGCTATCGCCCTCTGCAGTCACAGATTTTGATGGGTCACAGATTTTGTTGTTGCACCGGTACAAAGAAGCTTGATTTGTTCTTAACGAGGCTAGTTACAATTGTGACGTACTCTGAAGAGCAAACCTGCTCCGAGGCAGGCTAGCTCTCAGGATTGATTTGAATCCTAGAGAACCTCCACCCAGCAGCCAATCAGCTGTTTGGGAAAATAAGACGTGCCCTTTGATGAAAGACCCGTTTTAAATCAGAGGGAAAAAGAACTTAAATCAATATCAAAATAAAAGACTTTGAAAACTCAAAAGCAGTTAAAAAAAATATTTCTGTGACAAATTAAATAGTTTTCATTTGTGGTTGGAAAATGTAGTTTCTCTTATTTCATATATTAATTTATCCTATCTACTCACTATAAAAGTTTTCACTCAGTCTGTTTCACCTGCATGGCTGTTTTTAGACGAGACATGGCTTCTGATTGTTTCTCAAGGTTTATTCATAACATGTTATTGTTTAACCAAAGTGTCTGTAATTAGTTTCGACTGACAACTTTCCATTATTGTAAGCAAGGGTGAACGAATGCTGCACAGCCAGAACAGGGCTGAATACCAAGCGATAATGGCTGTATGATGAACTGTTCTCTCTTTGAAATGATATGAAAATAAGGTGCTGACTGAGTGAAATCCATCGATCTCCGTTTATTTAACTGGATTGATTATTTATTTTTATTTTTCCTCTTCCTGTATTTTTATTTTCTGTATTTGTTTTCCCCTGTATAATGTCCTTACACACCACTGGCATCTTTTCTTATATACTTGTTTTATGAAGGTGAATAAAAAAAAATCGAAAACATAATGATATAAAACTCAGCGTGCAAACTGTGAGAAGATGCTTTGGCTCAGAAAAACAATTACTTATATGAGCGATAGAAATTTTCACTGGAACCGTGTGTTGGCTGTGCGACCCGGAGGAGTGCCGCTCTCTCTGTATGACAGATTGTTTGGCTATGTGATATTACAGCCAACAACGCTGTCAAGACGAATGGCTTGGGAAAAGTACAATCTGTCCAATTGTCCATCAAGTGTTCAGTGTTCTGATGCAGCTGATTAATAAATTCATCATCTGCCCTGCCACCTTCCACAGTAAAAGATGGAAGGATGTTATGCCATCATAGGGCAGCACCAATGGGGGATTAATGATAAACCGTAAGGTTTATAAAGAAAAAGAAAAAAAATGAAGAAAACCAGAGGAAGAAGTAAAAAAAAGACATTGAGGTATTTCTGTATATTTAGGACTGCATTTTAGGGCTTTCACTATTTTAAAAGCAGAGCAGATTTTTACCATTTTCCCCAATGAGATCTGAATCAGCTGAAAATCCGGATAAGACAGATCACTTCTTGTACTAATGTGATGCAGTTATGATGCAGAATTAGAAGTCCAACTAGCCAGATGTAATGATGTTTCTATGTTTTATTTTTATCTGTTTCCACGTCCTCTTGACATTCAAGGGTTATGCAAATGATATGCAATAAATTGTTTGGGATGCATGGTCGTGTTAAATGCATGGCATTAAACACAATGCATTAACCTCACTATTCATTGAGAATTGTATTTTCTCTTCGTATTTTTTTAAGAAAATTTTTGTTCCTTACATGAGTTTTGTTCCTTGTAGGAGGAATTCAGCTCTTTATCTCCTTGGTGTTGACAGATTCGTGATCATTCAGAGCTGGATTGATTTAGCAAGTTCATAACCAGCTTAATGGCACCATTGATCCTGATTGACACTGTTGTGAATTAATTAGCATTAGCTTTGTGGTACAGGTACACTTTGGTGTTTCCATGGAATAGATAGGATAGTTTTCAAACAACCTGTTAAAAAGATTTTTACTTGCACACTGAAACTCATACCACACCCTGTTGACTTAAGCTGTTTTACTGTAATAAGGAAAGTTTCCTGGTTGTGTTGTCTGTAGACATCCTGAATAAATAAGTGAGGCTAGGTTTCTTCAGTTACCCCTAGATTTCATTTTAAGAACTTCTTAAAAAATAAAAAAATCATTATTATTTAATGCGAGAGCCTGTTCGCAAACGTAGGACTTACAAAAATATTTGTATAGTTAGAGTTCAAATTAACCTGAAAACATGACCCTCCACTGTTTGGTGTTTTAATTTTTGTATTGTCATCACAACATCAGTGCGCCCACTCTTCATATTGATATGCAAAGGAACAAATGTGTAAAATAGTTGGTGCAAACTCAGCCCAGATAGAAGTAGAAGTTAAAGTAAGTAAAGTAAAGTAAAGTAAAAAGTTAAAGGTCCCAGAATACAGATGAGAAGGGGACTTTGCAATAATATCTACATCACAGGATTTTCTGCATTCCTAATCAGTATGTCTTCATTAATTTATTAAGGTATTAAAATTGTTTATTGAACTGTTTTTTATCAGGGTGATAGACCAACCATACCTGTTTAAACAAAACAACATGACACGTTTGCTACAGCGTAATTAATAGGAGTTCTGAGAATAAACTGGTTATACAAGTTTTTATGGGAAACCATGGGGCGAGGGATCAGACTCTTTCTGTTTGTTTGTTGATTAAAGTGTACGGCAGGGACTGCAGTGAACTAATGTGATAATGCTTGACAATAATGATTAAAATGATTATTATTCACCCAGTGTGACTAAACCTGATCTATTTCACAGAGAAACATAAAAAATAACCATTACAGAGTTATTCAATAGTTTATATTCCTCAAAATCATAAAATCTCATTAAAACAAGTTTAATCTTGATGAGGTGATGATTTAAATCTGAACAGACATAAGAGGTATTATTACTAGGATTAATTGATTCATCTGATTCTTAGATAATTTTTTAATGTCTTTTTGCCGAGACCTGCAGTGTTCTCTGTTCTTTGGTGTTAATCATGAAGGAATTTAGCTTAAATGCTCATATCATTGCTGGTCGTCTTACCATAATTACCTGTAGATTTGCAAGTGATCTAAGCTGTCAACTGTAGGCACATCCTAACGTTGGTTTCAGTTAAAGCCTGTTGCATCAGATTCCCCTTTTAAGATGGAAAGATAAAGTGCGCCGACAGAAGTTGGTTAATGAGTTAATTAATCTGGAATGAAAGGTTTCTGTTCCTGTGCAACTTGTAGGGGGTTGACGGGAAACGCTGTACAATAGCGTAGTTGTTTCTAGCTTTATAATGAGAACTAGACCACAATGTTTTAATCTTAAATAAAGGATATTTAACTGGAGTGAATAGTTGAATACTTTTTTTCCCATGACAATGAAAAATCAGTTAACTGATTCATTTCAGCTATTGTTTTGTACAAATGAAAAGTGGAGAACAGATAAGCAGATAATAGCTCATATAGAGTGAAAAGAAGGAATGTGTTATTTACTTTTGCTGTGGCCTTTTTGGAAACACAGGAAAAAAATCTTTCATTCCTTTTGAGACAGCATGAAAAGTCAGCTGCATACAAAACATAGAGAGGAAAACAACAAGAAAAGGGACAAGAAGAGAGAGACAAAACGCAGAACAAATAATGTATGTCTATTAATATATCTCTATTCTATTGAAATTTCTGTATCTGTATTTGTTGTGAATTAATTAGCATTAGCTTTGTGGTACAGGTACACTTTGGTGTTTCCATGGAATAGATAGGATAGTTTTCAAACAACCTGTTAAAAAGATTTTTACTTGCACACTGAAACTCATACCACACCCTGTTGACTTAAGCTGTTTTACTGTAATAAGGAAAGTTTCCTGGTTGTGTTGTCTGTAGACATCCTGAATAAATAAGTGAGGCTAGGTTTCTTCAGTTACCCCTAGATTTCATTTTAAGAACTTCTTAAAGGAAAGAGTTAGATTTATGTCAGAGATCCTAATGACCCAATATGAAAAATCTGTCTCATAGGTCACAACTTTGACATTTAATTAAAAAAGAAATTAACAGCTGTGTCCAGAAATTTCCAGTGTATCTGAACTTATTGTTAACTTTCGTAAAAGGACCAGTAAATATTTAGTTTTCTCCTAAATTCTTAAATTATGTTCTTAGGAAAAAATGGCTGCCCAAACATCCAAGGTTGTGCTGTCACTGGACGCTAAAGATGTGAACTCAATCAAAGATGGCGTGAACTTCAAGAAAAACCCCCATGATGGGAAATGTTACATCATATTCAAGAGCAGTGATGGCTTCAAAGCATGCAAAAATCAGTGCAAACATCAAGGGGGGCTGTTTATCAAGGACATAGAAGACCTGAATGGCAGGTGAGGACACATCTGTAAAAAAAAAAAAAAGCTGCGTTATGAAATGAATACTTCTAATTACAACTTATGCACTGGTCTGCTCTTACAGGACAGTTAAATGCACCAAGCATAACTGGAAATTAAACGTCTCATCAATGAAATATGTCAACCCGCCTGACAGCTTCCTTCAGGAGGAACTTGGTAAGATGAGTGAAAGGCAACTTTATTCTATATTCAATTTTGAATGGTTTCTGAATTTATGAAAATTACATATTTAATAATTATCTACATGCAAACAGCTCACAAGAACATTTAAAACTGGATATAGTTTATCAGGTTTGTAGATATAATTTTTTTAATCCACTTTCACAGAGGTTGAACTCTTAGATGATGGAGGGATGCAGCTAGTGGAGCTGAACCCCATTGATCCGTGGCTGACTGATCCCAGAGAGTGTCAGGAGCTTCAGCCAGGAGAAGTAAAAGTAGGAGCTTTTTCATCTAAGCTTTGAGGAAGTATTCTAAAAAGAATATGGATTGCTTGTACAAACATTTAAAGCTTTAACTTTCATTCAGATAACATATTTCACCCACGCCTGCATGGAGCTGCAATTTGGACAGAAGCGCTTCCTGTTCGATCCATGGCTTAGGGGCCCTGCCTTTGCCCGAGGCTGGTGGCTTCTTCACGAGCCCCCGGCAGACTGCCTGGATAGACTCTGTGCAGCCGATCTCATCTACATCAGCCACTTGCACTCTGACCACCTGAGGTATACACTCTAATGCTGCTGCTGTTTAACTAATACTGTATCAAAACTGTCGCTACTTTTTCACCATTGGACAAGAAAAAATATCACATAAAAATAGATTATTTTCTAAGTGAGAAAACATGTCGTCTTGCTGAAGCATTAACAACTTCTGAATTTTTCAACTTTTTTTTTTACAAGAAAACTCTGAATATGTAGGGTCTCAGGGGTAATTACATTGTACCATACAGATTTTTAATATCCGATTGGGGTTCAAGGAGACGGAAGCAGACATACAGAAAGAAGCAGAGATACAAAAGGCAACTGTCAACCAGCTTCACAGGTGGCCCCATCCAGGAAACACACAACCAGGCGGACAAGCTCCAAGCCAGCTCCCATGTCAGAGGATGAAGAGAGTACATACAGTTAGCCAGAGTCAGAGTCAGAGAAACATGACTACATTGAAAAACAGGCCCATCTCAAACATCTATAAACAAAGGTGTTGATGGCAGCAGCACAGCGGATATTTCTCTCCAGGATGGTATGACAGCCAAACAGGAACATACCAGATGAAGCTACTATGAGAAAAAGCAGAGAGAACATAGTTAGAGATTGAACTAAGAAATTCTACAGAGTGAGGGAATACAGAGATAGATAGAGTGGAGCAGAATGATGAAAAAGGGATCCCTATGTCCTCCAGCAGTCGAAGCCTATACAATAGTAGCTATTCCAAATTTCCCCACGTTCCTCCATGGGCCCTTTGCTGGTATTTGGCTGGTCCCCTACAATTCCTTTTTAAACATCAATATTTGTACTAAAATATTATTTCTGTCATGATTTGTGGGCATTAAGCTCTAAAGAGACGCATCATCTCCTGGCAAGAACCTGTATTTCAGTGAAAGGGTGGAGTCAGAGTAAAGAAAATAAGCAAGAGGAAGTCACTCAGGTGGCTGAAAGTTGGAGGAGATTTCGCAGGGAGCTGAAGGGAAGTTGGTACCTGGCATTTGACTAGGAAGGGTAATTTTGAATGGCTGCTACTGTAGCAGCATAACTATAGAAAGAGCACTAGATAACCTGTGCCACCTCAACTACAAGCCATTAACACCCATTCATCTTTTTCAAAAAGCTTAAGTTCCATAAGAATGGACAAGGAACATCTTTGAAGAAATTGGACTTGGGTCTGGACGTTCTAGGCCAGAAATTTACACTATTAACAAAATATTGCATATCTGCCTTTTCTAATTACCCATAAATGAGGAAACACACCTTAGAGAAATTAGCTTTTCCCTAACCAGCTATTTATGTTATTAATACTGGGAGTTTATTTTCAAAGAATGCAGAGCTGCCAACATCTAATTTGCAAGTCATGTTATCCCCCCTGTTTTGTCAGCACTGATAGGAATTAACTCACTGCAAAATGCTTAGTGTTTAATCTTGCAGGGTAGGTAGACCTACTTTCTTATAACTTAGTGAATAATTATACGATTGATTTACAGCATGTATATAATGTTTTTTAATGCGCAGAATCTGAATCTTAAGATATGTTACATGAGCACTCAACTGGCATTGAGAAATACTTGCTGCTTTAAAGTTATGAATGCTTAAAGTGGCTGATCTACCCTCACAGAGTTTAAACATAGCATTGAACTTCAATCCCCAGATTGTTTGGTAAGTATTGAAAATGGATAATAGAATATGCTATCATTACTTTTGCTTTTAGTACAACAGTGGAATGCCCATCAGTTATAATGATGGCCAGTAATGTTGACCATGAATATAATGTTTAGATTAACAATAGGTGTCTTAAAAGGGTTTATAAAACATTTGCTTACAATGCTGCTTTCTTCCTCTTCCAGTTACCCCACTCTGAAGGTGCTGTCAGAGAGAAGGCCCGATATTCCCATATATGTCGGTGACACATCAAGACCAGTTTTTTGGTTAGTAAAAAGAGAACAGGAGAGTTTTGTTTAATTGAATAATACTTTATGAGCTGAACACAAATAGTCATGTTAACTGCTCTTTTTAGTGCAGGAAATATATGTGATGCTCTTTTATTATTGATTATATTGTGCTGTGTCACTTTTAGCAGCGTTGACATGATGTTTGGTTTAAATTACAGATGATTATAGGAGGTTCAATCTTTAAAATTGTTTGTGTATGGATTGGAGATAGAATACAGCATCGGCTCTAAGGCTGTTAACTTATTCATCCCTGTCCAAACTGTTCTCCCATGGCTTGCTCTGAAGACTCTTTATCTGTGCCTCCTCCCTCCCTCTAATCTGAACTTTGCTTTTGTTAAATTCCACAAAAATGTTAAAGAGGAAGCATCTAACATCTCTGAAATATATTGGTCCTGCTGAGATGTGACGAATAACATAATTCTGTAACATTATGCTTCTTAATTTTCCAATACTGTTTAGGAAAAAATAGGCTCTGGTAATGTTGGAAGGATTTAAAGGAGATATGGAAATTAACAAACAATAACAACAACATTTTGGTCATTCATAACAAGGAGGGTCATGCAATTTCCATTCAATGCAATGGAAAGACGTTGTTTTTATAGTAATCAAGTATGCAGACCAACTAACTTTGACCTATTGGCAGTACTTGAGTTGAGGGGGGATGAGGGGGGGATGGCATCCCCCTTCTAAAAACATCTTAAACAGTATCCCCCTTCTTAAATGTGCATCCCTGTGACATTTTATTACTGAATGTGTAAAAATTGTACAATGTTTTAACGGTAATGGCAATATTATTCCCCTTTCAACATTTGACGAACAGTGGGCTTACGAGTAGCCTGAACAAAATACATAAAATCAAAGAAGTGGCCTACCATGACTGTAAAGATGATCCCTGTAGGAAGTTTGTCCTCTGCATTTGACCCTAACTATGCAGGGGCGGTGATAGCCATGCCAGTCCAGGGATTGACTGCAGTTTAAGGTGCCTTGGTCAAGGTCAATGACCGCTGTACCTGACATGTAACAACTATGCCATGCATATTGCTCTAGGTTAGTAGACTATATTAATTAGGCTATGCATGCTTCAAAAGAAAAAAAAAATAATTCCACCACTCCCCTTTTTTTTTTTTTTTTTTAACTAGACTACTGCTTATTGGGATGTGTAAGTATCAGACATGGGCAATGTGGAGTCAACAAGTCATCTCCATGTCATGTATTTAATCTACCCAGCCAATTAACCAGGTGAGTCCAATCTGCACAGGTCAATTCACGGTGAAGATTGGACTCACCTGCTTCAGTGGCTGGGTAGAACAAATACATGACATGGAGATGACTTGTTGACTCCACATTGCCCATGTCTGGTAAGTATAAAACAAAGCAAAACTAATTAATTGAAAATTACTGTTTATATTACACAGAATTGATGGCAAAGAAAGTAAAACAAATCAGCAAAGTTCAATGCAGGTAACCTGCAGTAAAGGTATAATATCAGTTCATAATTAATTTGGAGGTTCTTTTACATATCCGTAGCAAAGCTTCCAGGAATATATCTGAGTATCAACAAAGGAACATGGAAAATTATGGTGTGGTTTTTATTCATTTTGACAAAAGACAACATGAAGACAAATACTACTCGTCCCAGAACTATACCCTGCAAAACTAGATGCCATAACTTGGTTAATAATGGAGATTTAACATTTATATGAATAAATAATTAAGATTCTCCATGTGCTCTACTGTGGTATGAAGCCCAGTGATGCTCAGAGGATGATGCACAAATTATGCAATAAAAGTCAGGAAGTTAGAACAAACTCCTTCTATAGAGTTGTAGTTACCTACTGTAAGTGGATATAATATACCATTTGTAAGATATTTAAATAAATCTATTCTGTATTAAGTTACATTTTTGTAAATCCTGATGCTGTGATTTTTTTTGTTGTTTTTTTGTTGATACAATCAAATGTTTAAAAATTTATTCTGTTCTGGCTCTAGTGTCCAGTGAAAAATAAGAATCAAGTTATATTTTTCCATGTGGAGGCAGTGTGAATCGTCTTATTGGTTATAATGGCTGCATATTAGCTGTGAAGCTTACAGCAGAGCGAAGTGGAATAAAGTGGAGCTTGATGCAGTGAAAACTTGAGTTCAAAAGGGAAAATGTTCTATTTATCATCTCCCACTTATCTGTAATGGTTGCCGTTGGGCTGGTGCCCATCCCCAGAAGTCTATGGGTGAAAATCAGGCTATTCCTTGGACATGTCCCCGGTCTTTCACAGGTCGGCTATAATGTCTACTGTATGTACATTATACCCATTATTCAAACCTTTAAAGAAATGAAAACATTTAACATACCTGTGTAACTATAGGTCCCTGCTGGCTTACACTCAGGTAAGGCAGGTTATGGCCTAGGTGTGGAAACCTCCGAAATGTTTTGCTGAGCTCTGTAACAACACACAAGGACTTAACAAGGGGCTTATACAGTCATTCAACTGCACCTAAGCGTGCACGTTTTCATGCATAGTTTGTTGCTTTCAATGGCCACATTTTAGAGCCATGAGACCTTTTGTCTAAAGAAGTAAATGGTTTATTTAATCTGCAATAATATTTGGCATCCTGTAGTATTGTCGGTGTTACCTGAGAATTGTCACATGTTATACTTGCTGCAATTTGTTCCATTTTCCCTCTTTATTTGCTTTGGGATTTCAGGTATTTGGAGCAAAGCAAAGTCAAGCTGACCAATATCAAAGTTACTCCGTTTGGCATTTGGCAAAACGTAAGCTTCTATTTATGTTGCTCATTCTGCTTATCTAAATTAGGAATTAAATGGGTTTTTTGGGACTTTTTTTTGACAGGTTGGTGAAAACCTGAGGTTCATGATTCTGATGGATGGTGTCCATCCTGAAATGGACACCTGCATTATTGTTGAATACAAGGGTAAAAAGCAGTTAACATAACATAGTTGACAATTAATTTTTAAAATGGGGAAAGTACATTTTTGTTTATTTTTTTTTTTGATTGCAGGTCACATGATCTTGAACACGGTGGACTGCACCAGGCCAAATGGTGGCAAACTACCAGAGAATGTGGATCTGATGATGAGTGACTTTGCTGGTGGTGCATCTGGATTCCCCATGACATTTCAAGGGGGGAAATATACTGGTGAACTTAACTACATTTTGTGGACAGCAATGCCAGTTTTTTGCAATTCAATGATAGTTTATGCCACTTATTGTAAAATATTGAGTTGGGATGACTACAGATAATTTAGAGCATTTTATAATCATAATATCTGCTTTTGTGTGTTTGGCCTGGTTAAAAAAATAAATGTTGTTGATTTAAAAGTTTGACCTTTCATAGAAAAAAAAATCAGCTTTGAGAGAACAGTCTTGAACCTGCAAACCAACTGGTTTTAAGGTGTTATGGTTTTTTTGTTTGTTTACTTAAAAAACCCACTGTTATCTTATTACAAATGTTTTTTTATGCTTGTGTGTATGTTTCCTCATTCTCAGACTCTTGGAAGGCAGAGTTCATCAAAACTGAAAGGAAGAAATTATTGAACTACAAAGCTACACTGGTCAAATCTCTGCTGCCAAGGATCTACTGTCCCTTTGCTGGATATTTTGTAGAAGCTCACCCATCTGACAAGTTGAGTTTACACACAGGGGTTGGTCAGAGTTTGTACAACAATAATGGTTGATTCATTAATTGGCTTTTTTGCATTTAATCCAGATGCAGGTTAATAGAAAACTTTATATTTTAACCAAAGGGTTAAATCAAACAACCTTCACATTCTATTGGCCTGAGGTCACAAAGGATGCAGCTTAATATGCCATTTATCTTAGAAAGATAATCTACAACATGGATAACAGAAACAATGGGACCTAAACAGTAACCTATAAATGTTTGATAGTATACATGGATCTCTCAAAAGTTTTTTTCTTTTTTTGTGTTAAGGTCCATTAGAGATACAAACACCAAAAACAAAGCAGAAGACCTCAATGCACTTATCAATAAGCTTGCACCAGAAATAAAAACGTGGACACCCAAGCCTGGCGCCGTGCTGGACCTTGGCCTTGCACTGAAAGACCCCACAAGCAGGTTGGCAATAAATCAAAGTTGTCTGTTTGTCTTTAAGTTAGGCAGAAGTTCTGATTGTTTAATTTGTAAGCTGCATAGGCTGAGAAAAGTGCACCTTGGCAGCAGAATCATAAAAAATGAACTTTCAGGTGACAGTAGTGGTGTATTATAAACTTTCTAAAAACCTTGTTCTTCTTCTTATCGTACTGGGAGGAGACATCAAATGGCACGGAATAGATTAGAAATCAAAAAGTCCAAGATAAGCTACAAATGGTCATAATATGCAAGGAAGACAGATCATAGTAGTGTTCATGTGAATTAATAATCATCAGATATTTATAACTCTAATCACTTAGTTTCAACTTCAAGCAAAAATACTGGATGGAATTCAAGTATGTTTGTGAGCAGATGTCCTGAAAGTGTAAAATGCACCTTTATTCATCCCTTTTTACTTAGGCGCACCTTCTATAGATAAAATATGTTGTATCCTATTGTCATCTATTTATTAATGGGTGACTATTGATTAATTTACTCTGCATATGAATACAGCTGTATCAAACTGAAAAAATACAAGGAAACACAGCAGACAGTTTTGGAATGAAGTTCGGCAAAGATTAGACGCAGGGTTGACTTATAAAGCAATATCCTCAGCCTTGAAGGTCTATAGAGCTCTTTACAATCCTTCATTCAAATTCAGAAAGGGTATGGCTTGGCTCCAAGGCTACTAAGAAAAGTTTGTTAACCTAAACTGGCAATGCAAGGAGAGGATACTGCAACAAGACCCTGAGATCTTCCGCTTAGGTTGGAGAAACTGCTGTTTGGAGAAACTGCCAGTCTTCAAAAAAAGGTGTCCTGGTTAAATAAAGTAGGAATGATAAGCTAATAATCAATAAATCTGACCTGGTTTAAAGTTTGCCACATGATCGCTAAAATCAACACAGCAAATTGATTAAGACAATGGAAGAATTATGCATCTATTTTTATACAGTCACACAAATAAATCCATCCCTTGTATCTTTTATCTGAGATCAGTTCTGAGGGTAAGAAAGCACAGAGGGGAAACTTAGACATCCATGTTATCAGGTCAGCCTTGGTGAAGGCTCTTTGTCATACTGTACATCTTCAAGGCAGATTCTAGCCACCCTACAGACGTGGCTGATTTCAACCATGAGCGTGTTAAGATCTCGCCCTTTTGCGACACCAAAATAAAAGCCCTCCACAGATCCACAACACATAAAGTGTGAACGACAAACTCACTCAGCAGTTATGCAAAATTAATATTTAAGTTCTGTATTCTACAGCCAGGACTAAAGCTACAGTGTACTTGTTTTTAACCAGCTTTTCTGGTGTAAGCTTTGCTCATTGTGCCTTTAGTGTGGAAACTGACTGAAAAAAATAATGCAACCTTTAATGGCATTTACTTAATCGTGTTTAGTTACTTTCACACAATTGTTTTGTCCTACCCTGCTACTATGAAATAATTGTGTTAAAGTAACTAAATATAATTAAAAAAAATTAAATGCCAAAAGTGGTTGCCTTATTTTTTTCAATGCATTCAGAAAGTTGAAAAAGCTGAAGTGCTGCTTAGCTCACTAATCAAGACAAGTCAGAAGATCCCCCTTTTTGCAACTGCAATGTGGCATCTACATCAAGGGCTTTTGAATTAACCTGCACCCCATGATACCACTTTCCCTAGAGGGTGAGAAAGTTCAGATCTTCTTCATGATGTTTAGAGGTATTCTTATCGATACCTGGTTGATGACATTAAACCTGAACTACTAGTGGTTGCAAGCTACCCGGTTCGATCCCCACAGCCTCCACTCTGGGTTCCTGAGCAAGACCCTTAACCCCACATTGCTCCCTGGGTGCCACAGAATGGCAGATCACTGTGAAGGGCTAAGACGTTTTTCATTAGACTAAAAATAAACATTTAAATGGGTACTTCTGTCACAGTTTTGAAGTTTCACATTCTAAAATTATTTCTTGCTTCTGGTAAACAGATGAGGCAGTACATGATGACGGAAATTAGTCATTAACACCTAGCCTGAGAGACCATAATGGATAAAAAGTGTATTGGTATATTCAAACTATAAAATCTCAAGCCTCACTGCTGTCTTTGCTATGATCAATTACAGTGAGGCCATCATTGATCCTCCAGCAAATACCAAAATCTACAAGGACAGCTGGGAGTTTGACTTGTATGTCAATGAGCTGAACAGCGCTATCAGCAGTGAGATATTCAAACATCAGAGCTGGATCCAGTTTTATTATACATGGGCAGGATTTCAAAACTACAACCTGGTGGTTCGGGTAAATATGTTTGACCAGAGGAGTCGGCTCTAATTTTCAACTCTTCGACCTGAAACTCCCTGCTCTTCCTTTATGTTTTTGGGGTTTATTTTATGGCTGCTGCATTTCTTGTTTTTCTACTGTGTTTTTTGCTGTGGATGTCTGGGTGATGGTGTTAAGGACTCCCAAATCTTCGTTTGCCAAAACAAACCAAGTTTTTACAGCAAAATGTTCCCAAGACACAGTTTCTCACAAAGTTCAGCTGCATGCTCACCACAGACCCAAGAGGAAAAGACTAAAGCTCCAAATAGGCATACAGCACAGGAACCAACAACACTGCAAAGTTTTTATTTTCAATAAAGATATTCCCCAATTGAATCCAAATCAACATAGACCAGCCTTCTCTGGTAGTGAAAACCTTAAGGCTCCTCCTATGTGGTGAAACTATTTTCATGCATGTCAATCTCAGAGTGCCTCCATATGTATTCATCCCCTAATTTTTTTTAAAAGGCTTGTAATACCAGTAAACCCATTCAGATTTTTGACAGAGTGATTCATCTTCGGACAAGATAACATCCACACAGTAGTATGAGGCACAACACAACAACACTGATAACACATACTTTGCACCAGTTATATTAACTGGATGTTCTATAATGTTTACACAAGTGCAAGGTCATGATCTCCCAATAGAAGCTACAGAACTCCAATAACTACACTGACTGCAGCTGGGTTGTTGATAAGCACAAGATTGTGCCAGATAATAATTAAAAAGAAGAAGCACAGAGTTCAGTTACCACAGATAAAAATAAACTAGCTAATGTTAATAGTTCACTTTTCCAATAATGACCTAAGTTCCTCCTTCCTAAAGCTAACTAGTTAAAGTTCATCTGTTAAAATTAAAATACGCTTAGACAGTAAAACCTCTATGTGAAGATTAAAATACCAGTTGCAATCTTGGTATACTATACATGCAGGGAAAACTTTATCTAGCCTGCATGAGCCAAATCACAAGGAACTAAAAACACATACAAATATATTTAGGTTCTTTTGAAACAATCTGACATGAAAAAAAAAAATCCATTGTAATTTGAACTAACTTAACTGTAGTTCCTAAGTTGCTACACTAAACTAAAGATTGCTTTATGTCATGTAAACTTAGGCTTACCCTGCTCAAAGTGTTAACACCAAACCCACACGTTTTACATCATCAAAAGGAAGTCACCAGCAAATCAACAACAAAAAAGGATCCTAACATTATAGTTTTTCCAAAAAAAAAAAAAAAGAACATGTAGCAGCCGAGCAATTAAGCTTAATTGGAGTTTACCCTTCTAAGTGTACAATACTGAACAAACAAATTTTAGCATCCTCAAAAAGTAAGGAGGAAGCAGCATTAGGTAAACAATTAAAGTCATTCACATTAATTTAGGCTTTCTTTTTCCTCCTGACTATATTTGTACTCTAAAAAATACCTATATACTACAGCAAATAGTTATAATAAACTAAAATAGCTTTTAAACTTCATTTGAGAAACTGGATTCACCTGTATGGAACAGATTGCCAGGTCCTTTAAAGTGCAATAGAAATGCAGCATTTAATGAAAGTAAACATACTATATATATAAAAAAAAAAGGAGCAGAGTGTAAGCATCACGCTTGTTTATTCCAATTACTTTAAAACTAATCCATTCAGTTCAAGGCTTTGTATTTGTATAAAAATACATATTTATATTAATAAATATATTAACATGTATTATTATTAATATTTATTTTTATTAATATTTGTATATTAATTTGTATAGCACAGTTAAGTACATGGAAATTTCAGAGTGCTTTACATAAATTACTGTAGATAACACATTAGACTAAAGGAAAAAAGGTGAATAAATGAATAAAAAGGAACATTTGTAATTCACAAAACAATAGGACCACAGAAAAGGATAATAAAAGAAAGTTAAAAAGAATCATAATTCAATGAAAATATAAATATATTTTATAAACATTACTTATAGGGCCAGATCTATCAAAGGTTTGCGTGTATAAAAACGTGAGCTATTTCACTGCGCACGCTAAAAAAATGTACAAATTGATCTATCAACAGCGTGCTAAAAGGATTTGGTCTTTAAAACGTGCTAAATAGCGCCTCTTATCCATTTAGTACTTTTTCTGCAATGAATATGCAATATGGGGCGTTTACACGCAAAAGTGCGTCTTGTGGGAGGAGAACATGTAAATATATTAATTTAGCACTCGCAAAGTGATTTATTAAACCTGAAAGCAATTTTGCTAATGGTATCTGACTCTATATTTAACACGTTTCAAAAGAAGGTGCAAATGGTCTGTATGCGTAATTGCGCACACATGGCAGCGGTTATTGTCGCAAGAAGGAGACATCGAAATGAAGCAAGGAGACGCAGAGAACGCATTTTTTCACTCCATGTGATTATTTTTGGAATGAACGAGGAAACGATCATCAAAACATATCGTTTATCCAGTATTGCCATTTTGGAGCTGTTGGGGGAACTCCGAATGGATTTGGAGCCAGCCACAAGGAGGACCCACGCAATACCAGATATCACAAAACTCCTTGCAACATTGCACTTTTTTGCATCTGGGTCATTCCAGCGTACGGTTGCAGCGAGAGCTGGGATCTCCCAATCTCATTTTTCAGAAGTGCTGTCTTTTTTTTTTTTTTTTTTTTGGAGTGTCACTGTAAGATTTAAATTTCTTAATGCACTAGTTTGTACAAACTACATACTTTGCCGCAAACCACAAAACGCGCAAAACCATCATTTAAATAGGGTGTCTCCAAGAGTTTTGCACCTGCCACCAGTTACGCAATCTCTCTTGTTAAATCACCCGCAAACCATGGTTCAGCCCCTCGCGCAAAATTCCAGTTTGCGAGCGCAAATTACTGCACGCAAAATTGGATCTTGATAAATCCGGCCCATTGAATGCATTCATGCTCGCCACTGGATAGGAACCCATGAATGGGTTTAATCGAAATTGAGAATGACGGTATGGGTCTAGTTTGTAGAGATGCACCTACATAAGGCCTCTTCAGCAATGTTTTTCAAGGAAATCGCACCACAATGAATAACTTTACTAGAAATACAGAAATATTCTCTTTCTAAAAAAAAAAAAAAACTGTAATTATTCTTATAAGGTAAGCCTCAAAAGGTATTTCTTTGCCAGTACCTACTAACAACTCACACCCACCTGCTTCTAAGGCTGAAGGAAATCTTCATTGATACCAGTGTGGTTCTGCAGTGCTGTCATACAGCACAAGTCATAGTAATATATTTCCTTGAGAAAACTGTGGCACAATGGGAGAGTAATTCAGACTGAAACTCTTTGGTTTGATTATAGCTTGTTCTTACAATATAATGATAGTAAATTGCGGAAGGCTCTTGACCTGAACTTTGCCCACTGAATGGATCTGGGCCAAACTGGATGGATAAAAAAAAGTTATCAATACCTAACCATACAGTACAATGGTCAATTCATGAGGCTGTGAAGTTTTAGATGAAAGCTGAAGGTCAAACATAACTTCCATAAGTTGAAAAACATATTTCCTGTAAAATATGACAACATATGAAAAAACCTTTACTTGTAGCATAGGAGTCTCTGCTGAACCCTGGTAGATGTAAGTCTAAATGTATTCAACTGTAGACTTGGATAAACATTTTTGCTGTCTTCTAATCTACACTTCTTTATTCTTCTTACTGAAACCTTACTTTTAACCCCTTTAATTTTCAAAGTAAGAATAAATATAACTTGTATTTGAATTATTCTCACTGCTGTTTTCCATGTAGATGATTGAAACAGATGAGAGCTTTAAACCACTGAACAACGGCTATGACTACCTGGTGGACTTTCTGGATTTGACATTTCCTTCCACAAGGCCTGACAGAGAGCACTCCTACATTGAGGTAAGAACAAGTTTCAGAACTCAGAGCAAAATTTAAAGTTTTGGGTAAAAAAAGAGGAATTCAGTAGCAGCCATTCAAAATGGCCCTGCCCAGCCGAATGGTAGCCGAGGGGCAGCCCACTTCCCTCCAAATCCCAGCGAAAACCCCTCCAATATCCAGCCACTTGAGTGACCCTCTCCTGCATATTTTTTTTTTTTTTTACCTCTGACTCCACCCTTTTACTGAATTACAGGGTCTGACCAGTAAATGATGCTTTTCTTTAGATGTGAATGTCCATAAATCATGACAGAAAGAATATTTTAGTACCAGAGGTGTCACATTTCTGTTACTGTACTTAAGTACACTTTTTAGGTATCTATACTTTACTCCATTATTTATTTTTCTTCATACTTCTGACTTCTACTTATTACATTTTCACACGAGTATCTGTACTTTCTATTCCTTACATTTTTAAAACAACCGTTACTCGTTACTTTTGGCTTCGGTTTAATGCAGAGGTCACGGATTAGCGGACCGCGGTCCGGTGTTATGCGGAAAAGTGCATCCCTGCAGGAATATGCATCCCCAGTAGCGGGAGCGTGCCTCGCTCTGTACAACCACATATCAACGAGGGAAACGGATTAAACTATGACCAATTTAGCTACAGTACTTGTTTTATTATTGATATAAAAACGTTAAATATTCCTCTCGTGGGGAAAACATTTGCGGTTATTTAGAAGATTCATTTAAAAAATATATGGGTGTTATGAACAACATTAAATCCAAAGATTTTGTCCGAGGAACGGCTGATTTATTTGTTGTAGTCTCTTGTTTTTCACACACAACAATAAACAGTGATGCCGCCGTGACAGCACAGCGTTCACAGACCAGTGTGATGCATTCAGGAGCATGGGACATTTCATATTTTCAAGGAAAGATACATAAACGGAAAAGAACTTAACTAATACAAAAATCTATTTATTCAGAAACAGTGTGGGCTTTTTTTATAATACTGAATGCTCTATAATTGTATTTCTGTTTTTTTTATGATGCACATCTGCTAGTTTTTTATTCTAAAAAAATCTGTAATATTAGCAGCAAATTATCAAAGTTTTTCAAAAGCCAGTTTAGAAGCTCCACATGAGGCTTCAGATCGTACAGCAACAATTACGCTGTTATTGTTTTAGAGGTAGAATTTGCATTTGCTGACCCTTGACCTTTAACTACTAATGGATGTATAGGAATACAGTCATACAAGTGTCAACTCCTCTGAGATAGCACAGGATGCAATTTTTGGCAATTTTTTTTTTTTTTTTTTTTTTTTTTTAATTTTATGTATAACGTTAATGCATAAATACGTCATTTTGTTTCAGTGTTAAATTCTGTTTAAAGTAACAGATAATTAAAAATGTCTCCAGACCTTTACTGGTTGATGATTTTCTTTATTCAGACCCACTGATTCTTAATTGGTTTCCCCTGGTTTAATGTTTCTAAATATTTATTTCCTGTCATGTGCTCCATCCAATGCAGATCATTGGCTCCACCCACATCTAGTGAAAACTAGTGTGATTGGATGAGTCATATAACGCAAACACTCATTGGTTAGCTAAAGGAAATCATCAGAAGCAAGCAGGTGTTCTTCAAACTGCAAACGTGAATTGTCCATGCCGTGCTACAATGTGGGATTCAGAAAAAGATGTTGAAATGTCTGAAAGGTCGGACACAGGCGAGAGCGTATCGGGAGACGGAGACCAACAAGACCTCCCTCATCCTTGGCCCTATCTCAGAGAATTTATAGAAATTGTCGAAAAATTTAGCTTTCAGTTCATATTGTCATGAAAACGAGGACAGATGGACCCAGTATTCAAGGCGAGACAGTCAGTAGGAAAGTTCAAAAGGTTTATTAAAATAAAAACAAAACAGAAGCGGAGCTGTGGCTCGCGTACACTGCAGGCGGGGGGAGGGGCACCGCCCAATCTCAGACACTCTGGGGGAGAAACACAGGTAAGTGACCACGATCAACTGATAGATTATCTGTGTTGGTCACTTACCTGGTTTAACAGTCCAGACCACAAATGTCCCCAGTGCTGCAGTCCAGAGGTGATGCTGGAAGCCGATCCTGGTGAGGGATCCAGAAGAGACAGAACAGGCAGAATCCAGATCAGGCAGGAACAGAAACAGGTGGCAGGATCCAGACTTCCAGGCATCCACAGGCTTCCAGGAGGGTTCAGAGTCAGACTGGGACCAGAAGCATGACCAGGTGGTCACGCACAGGAGCAGACAGGATCAGGTGCAGACAGGCAGGCTCAGTGGAAGAGGGTAGCCGAGACAGGACGTAGAACCGGAACTTGAAGCTGGACTTTAAACTGGTCTCCTTCCTGGAGCCAGGCTTACTTTGATAAAAACTGAACCTCCTCCCATAATGAGCCAAAAACCCAGAGGACTCCACAGGGGAGGAACAGTGGACAATCAGGAGACGAGACAAACACTAAAACCCTCTTTCCACTGGCCGCTAGGATCCAGGACATGAACCAAATAAAACAGAACAGAAAGACTGACAGAAAGACAAGCAATGATCTGGCACTGAATGCTCAGGCTTAACTGAATATAGACCACAGGAAACAGGTGAGAGGAATAAATGATAATGAGGCAGGGAGGGAAAAACGACAGGTGAAAGGAATGACTAATTAAGGGAGAGCAAACAGGCCAGATCATGACACATATAGCGGCATCTGGCTGATTTTTTAAAGGTTACTTTATACTTTTATACTTTAAGTAGTTTTTGGAGCAAATACTTTTTCACTTTTACTCGAGTAAAGAGGTCAAGTTGATACTTCAACTTTTACCACAGTGTTTTTAAACTGCAGTATCTATACTTCTACTTAAGTAACAAATGTGTGTACTTTTGACACCACTGTTTAGTACAAATATTGTTGTTTAGAAATGAATTAAACCGGACTAGCCAAGGATTAGCCCAGGGCCCAACAAGGAAAGTAGAGAAAATTTTGAATGGCTGTATTCACTTTTCAAGTGGAATTCTGTAAAAACATCACAATACAATAATCTATCAAGAATGTATCAAATATCTCATGAGTTTTTTGGTGTCAAGCAAGTAGTGCAAAAAAAAAAACCTGAAAAACTGGCTAAGAATTCCTCTTAGCCATTCTTGACCGTTTCTAGGTGTCTGTTTTGGTCATTATCCTGTTAAAGATCCATAACCTATGACCAAGCTTTCTGACACTAGGCAGCGCATTTCTATTTAGAATCTATTGATATTCTTGCAATTTCATTGAACCTTGCTGAGTTTATAGGTGCACAAAACAGCCTTTATGTTTAACAGTAGGGAAAGTTTGTCTTTGAACATATAGCTGATGTGTCTTACCAAAAAGTAAAATTTTTGCCTCACCAGTCTTTTAGACATTCTCCCAGAAGCTTTGTGGCTTATTAACATGTAGTTTGGTAAATTGCAGTCTGGCTTTTTATGATTTGATTAAAAAAATGATGTCCTCCTTGGTCGTCTCTCCCATTAACTGTCGAGACTCAGACAAATGGACCCAGAATTCAGACAGACAGAACAGGTTAGTTCATAGCAAAAATCTTTTATTGAAAGCTCTGGATTATGCGACTCGTCAGCTGGGACCGGTTTGCTGGCTTCTCTGGTTATAGGTTCACTCTGGTTATAAGTTTAGGAGTGGGAGCCAGTCAGATGATTTCTCCACAACATGCTCCGGGTGCTGCCCAGAGAGTTCCAGGAGCAGAGCAGAGCAGCCAATAGATGAGAACAGGAGGGTCCACAGGCAGAATCCAGAGCAAGTAACAAAGCTGGGTCCAGACCAGACGATAAGATAGATGCACAGGTACCAAAGTCTACTGGGTCCATTTCTGGCTGTTTGTACTGTCACAGTTGGGGAGGTTTGACAGGACCCAAATGCAGACACAAAAAGCTGAAGTGGTTTCTTGATTATTCAATTAACTAAAAAGTTAAACAGAAGCCAAAAGCCAAAACATGAATCCAATAAATCCACAAAGACTGAGAACCAGGAATACGTACTTACAAAAATGGGGCAAAGAAATGATGACAAACCAGCAAAGACTGACTGAACAGGAGGAGAGTAAATGAGAGAGAGAAATAAAGACCAGGGTAATTAGCAGATTGGGAGCAGGTGTGAACAGAAGCAAGAAGGGAGCTTGGGAAAAGGAGCCTGACACAAGAGGGCAAACAAAAAAATATCTAAGAACTACAATACATTTAAAAATAGTTAGAACACAAAAATGGAAATTAGACCAATGAAAACTCAGAGATAAAACTTAAACAGAACCAAAACCATGACAGTTTTGGTCAGGTCAATGCAGCACATCCTCAGGAAACCCTCCAAATGACACAGGCTTAGTTTAACACCTGAATACTTAATCAAAAGCAGACCCATAAAGATACAGATCCAGTCCAGGGGAATAAAAGCCGATGGGAGATTTCTCAAAGAAAAACAATTTCTGCTCCCTCCTACCACTAAAGTCAGTGAAATCAAGGCTTTTAATGTGGTAATTTCAGGGTGAACAGAAATCTAAATACCTGATTCTAAGATCAATCAATATGTTTATAATAATAGAATTCCCCCATGGTTCTCCAAATTGATATTGCTCTGAATTGTGTTTCGTGCAAGTAATATATAAATAACTACATCTCTAAAGTTCTGCCAAAAAAGCAGGGATGTCTGGATCACTTACTGGATCAGTGGTTTCAAAGATGTTTCATGTTGAGTGGGTCAGCTAGTTTTTTTTTTTTTTATGTGACTTCCAGGGGGGAAAAAAAGTTTCACTGTGTTTTATTTCCAGATTAAAAACAGAATTGGTGTGATGAGGTATGTGGTGCTACATGGATGTCTCTGGGATGACCTCTACATTGGCTTTCAGAACCGCATCAGCAGAGATCCTGATGTTTACCACCACAAGTATGACCAAGAAAAAATCTCAATGTATAATGTGTATATATTTCGAATCTAACTTTGAATCATCTCTAGAATTCTCTTAAACAAAGCAATTCTCTCCTTGGGTCTTCAGGTTTTGGAACCACTTCCAGACCCAGTTACCGCTTCGCTGCCCAGACTGGGGCGCGTTTCTGCAGCAGGCCCCCCCGATTCAGGAAACATTTGCATCTGCATATGAAGGCTTAATGAACTATTGCTCTGTTTTATAGATCTGGAAATAGGGGAACATGAAGATAAAGTTGAAGAGGTTCTGGTTTAAATTATTGTATTAAATTCTACGGAGTACAGGATGAATTACAATTTTGAAATTATGAATCCAATGCACTAAATGAAAGAAATTTATTTGACTACATTGGTGGGTGCTGTTATTCAGGGAAAGAAAACTGTTAAGTCTGAAGGTAGTTGAATGTATTTTTAATGTTTACAAGGGGTTAAACTGTATATGGAAGTTATCTTCAGTATCTACTCTGGTGTTTTTTTTCTTCTATTTTCTTGAACTGTTTATGCATAGTTTCTTATCCAAATGAGGGTAATTCAGTAAATCAGTTATAGAGCAAGGTCACATATGATGACTACTGCCATTCAAAGAGAGCAAGTGCAAGAGAACAAGTGTTCAAGTGGCCTTAGAATGGCATGATTGACAATTTGAAATTGCTTTACAAGAATGAAACTGTAAAATAGAGTGAAAATACAAGCAGAATAAAAGCAAGTAATGGTAAAAACTATTAAAGCAGACAGTTAGACCAAAAACTTAAACTAATGTTGTCGCAGTTAACAGTTTAACATCAACTGTCAGATGCAGCTCTTGACAAATTGGTGTTTTACTTTGACTTAAAAGAACTCAGGCTTTCAGAACTTTTTCAGCCTTCTGGGAGTTTGTTCCAGATCAGTGGAGCATAGGAACTAAGTGCTGCTTCTCCATGTTTGGTTCTAGTTCTGGGTGTAAAGAGTAGGCTTGAACTAGAAGACCTAAATTAACAGAAGGATTTTAAAGTCTATTCTTTGAGCTACAGGGAGCCAGTGGAAGGACTTAAGAACCTCACTGATGTGTTTTACTTTTCTAGTTCTAGTGAGGACATGGGCAGCTGTCTGATGGACTTTTTAGGCAAACCTATGAAGAGACTGGCGCAGTAATCAATTATTTAACTTAAAATTTAGCAGATGCTTTAATCCAAAGTGACTTACAAAGTAGACACAATTTTACAGTTATCATCAATATGACAATTGGTTCTCTAGAGGAAAATCCCTAGTCAGAATCAGAGATGACAGCAACGACAGAGAGAGAGGGGTACGTGCAGAAAGAGTAGTAGAGAGGTACAGAGGCATGGGTAAGAGTTATCTTTATATTCAAGATAAATGCGTGAATTGTGAGTTATTCTAGATACCTGGACTTTAGTACTTTAATCCTGGAAATGTTCTTCAGGTGATAAAATGTGCCTCTGAAGGTTAAGAACTGAGTCTAGCCAACGCTTTGATGGGTTCATAGTCACCCGGTGACAATGTGATGTAAAGCTGTGCTTCATCAGTTTAGTAATGGTAACTGATCTGTTTGTTATAATCTGAGCTAAAATGAGAGTGTAGATATTGAATAGGAGGGAAATTCTGCATGGCATTTTTTTTCTGGTCTCTGATTTAAAATTCCCTACTGACACAATAAAAAAGGAAAATGTTTAATGTTGGTGAATAAATACCTGGTTGATCTGCATCCCACATCAAGTCTCCTGCTTAATCCAGCCACTAAGGGCCATCTCTGACAAACATCAATGACATTTTATAGAAATTACCTTTTACACTTTAGTTTTTGTTTCTGAGATCTGTAAGTCTAGGGTGCAATAACCATTGTGCATTTGTGCATATAAAAACATGGCTGTTTCCGATTAGTTTGGAAATGTTATTATAATTATGATTTTTTAAACAAAATTTTGGTATTGTTCTTGTAAATTTGCATAAGTACCATGGAAATGAATCACCTTTTTTGTTGAAAAAGTAATTAAACTTGGGACAGGAGTGAACTTGTCATGAGCGGTTTTAAGGAATCTGACCCACATGCAGAGAAACCACTCAGAACACGGGGAAAAGTTTAACGGGTTTATTTGATGTAACGTATATAAGAGTAGGATCTGGAACTCAGAGGACTGGTGAACCAGAATTGGAAAGTCTGATGAGATCAGTTCAGGGAGATCAGTCCCTGAACTGATCACAGAGATCAGTTCAGGGACCGTAGGAAATTTGACTGTGGCTTGAATAATGCTGGAGAGGGACTCACGTTTGAGGCGGCTCTTGTTAATCCTTGAATCCAGTCTGTGTGGGGGTAATCCAGAGAAGGGGGGGAACTAGTTGGAGAGCGGACAGGTAGACATTCGTTGGACCCAGAGGAGTAATGGAGCGGAATGTCACTTGGATTTCCGATGGGAACTTGAATGGATCATGTGGAGGTTTTCCCCTGCTCAGTGTATTCTCAGTAATTCCTTCCAGGGGAAGAAGGTCCAGGCATTCAGTTTTCATAGGAAGGCTTCCTATCGAAGAGCAAAGACAAAAACACATTAAACTCAGAGAAACAAAGCTAGGTTAGACTCTGCTAATCTCAGGTTGGCTAGAGCACTCAAAACTGGCAAACACTCTGGCATCGAGGTAGTGACAGCCCACTACTCAAATACTCCTCCAGTAATGAACCAACGAGCCGCAGGTGTGCAGGGAGGCCCAATGAGGACAGGTCACCACCTGGTGGTGGAGAAAGAAGAAACACACAAAGAACCCCCACAAACTGGATTCCTAACATAACTCTTCTTCTTTTTGCTAATCTAAAAATGTTTTGATACATTTATGATAAACTACTGATTTTTCTAATGAACCTCTTAATTGCAAACATGAATAGCTTGGCTATTTTATATTTGTAAGTCTGTAAATCATGTAATATTACATATTATACAAATTAATCACAATAAAATGAATGTGTTAATGAAGCCTTATAATACAGATGTGCCAAAAGTGCTAAACTAAAAGACTGAATTACAAGTACGTGTCTGTTAATGCTATAGTATTTTCCTATATGCAAATTGTGCATGCATGATGGCATACACTTTTATGCTGTGTTTGTGCATTAGCCTTTAATACCAAACACTTCAGCATCATCCATTTAATCAAAAATTACTACGTTGACATTTCACAGTGAATTACTTTCTTATGGAAGCAAATCGTTACCATATTTAAAATGAAAAAGCATTTTCAGAAATGCTTTTTCATTTTAAGAATGTAGCTGCATTGTTTGACTCATAAATGAAATTAGTAATCAACTATTTGCATTTTCATTTTCTTCTTCAACACTGCTCATCCTTTTACTTAATTAAAATTAAAAAGAAAAATACACTTGAGATTTAATATTCAAAATGTACCTCAGCAAATACATACCAATATTCAATTTGAAATGTAAAATTTGAAAATGAAAAAGCATTTCCAGAAATGCTTTGTCATTTTAAGAATATGGCTGCATACTGGGGGCTGTGACCCCCAAACTGGGAAAGTGGCTACAGCAGATCCCAGGTAAAACATCAGAGGTCTCTGTCCAGAAGAGCGCAGTCCTAGGAACAGCTAAGATACTGCGAGGGGTGAGAAAACAGTTTGTCAGTGATGGGCAGTAGCGCCGCTACATGTAGCGAAGCTATTAGTTTAACTACATTTAGTAGCGTCGCTGCTTTATTTATCAAGTAACTTTCCTGTAGCGACGTTATTGTTTTGATCAAGTAGCGACGTAGCGTCCACAAACGCTACAAAATCCAGGGCAAAACTAAGAAATGAAACCAGGGTTTCTATTTCTAAACAACAATCAGCCACAAAACTACTGTAAATAGCAGTTTCAGCTGACGCTCTTATAAGTGGCGTAGTAGCACAGGCACACTCAGTAGGGTTAAACAAGCGCACCCTTTCCGAGGCTGTTGTTCTATTGGCTGGAAAGGTTGCTAGGCAACGATCCAACTGCAGTCTGAGAGCAAAACAAATCTGCAAGCAGAGCCTACGGGTTTGCGAGTGTAACAGAGCGCGGTTTGTGCGCGAAGTGAAGGACGCAAGCGAGAGGAGAAAATATCTGTGCAAGAAGCATTAAATCTGAGAGAAGAAACAAAGATTTGAGAGAGAGCGCATGTTTTGAGTGTGAGCATTATAAGTTTTGAGAGCAAGAAGATGAAATTCTTTTCTCTAATTGAAGTTATGTGCTCTTGCATTATGGCAGGATAATTCTCCCATATCTATGTGCCACTAAGATACTCTAATTAGAGAGCAGTAGTGAAACTTCGATATTGTATTTTCATGGCCTAGTTTACCTGACAGGATGTTTACATAAATCTGTTTTTAGGCTGTGCACAGATAAGATTTTTTATGGAGGAACAGCTCTACCGTATATAAAATAAATACATAAATAAATAAATGCTCAATAAATAAATAAATAAGCATTCAATTAATTGCCTCCAAAAATACAATGAATAAATATGTAGGTAGAAATTAAATTATATGGTGAGACATATATATATATATATGTATCTCTTAATTAGCTTCTTTATTTTTTCACCTTCTTTTGTAAACAGTTTTGTTTGTTACTTGAATCAACTGTTTAATTGAGGTCTTTTGTAGGGTTTTGTTTTCCCTAGAGATGTCCATTGAATGCAAACTCATAGCCATGTCTCGGTGTGTAGAACACTACACAGTACCTTTAATTTGGTTCTAATAACAGCAGATTGTTTACTAGTTTGTCAACTAGTAATTACTTTAGTTTTTATTTTAATATGCTGATCATAAAGCAATGTTTACACTGTGTTATGTCATTGGCTGATCTTTAATAAATATTTTAACCAGTGCATCAGACTCATTTTGAATTGACATTAGGTTGGTACAACGTTAAGTAGCTTCTGATGTAGTTAAGCTACTTTTAACACATTAGTGTAACTTAGCTTACTATAATTCTTTAGGTGGTAGCTTTTGTGTAGTGAAGCTTAATTTATTGTTGAGTAACTGATAGCTTAGCTCACTACACTGGACAAGTAGCTTGCCCAACACTGCAGTTTGTGTGTATATATATATATATTAGGGGTGTAAATAATAATCGTTTTGAATCGATGCATCGATCCAAAAGCCGACGATCCGATGCATCGACACGTCCGCAAGATAATCGATTCATGTTTTTTTTTTCCTCCGGTCTATTTTTATCCATTTGCTCCTGGGCGTAATTCTCCCTCCCGTGCTGCGGTGGCGCCAAACCTATTTTGCCCTCCTACCTCGCTTCCTGGTTATACTCTTACAGCAGTTTGTTGCAGCAAGCTTCACACAGACATTTTTAAATTATGCTCAGTATTGAAGCGTGGTCTGGGCTACACACTGTGGGTCTAGATACGGCCGAGGCGATGAGGAAGTGGGGGCGAGTTTAGTCCGACGACGGAGGGACAATGGGGCAAAAAGAGCGGAGATTCAGCTGGAAAAAGGGTCCCAGCGTTCTCGCGCACCTCGCTCATCTAGCGGGTCAAACTTCACGAGTTGTTTTCCGCAATTTCGGTCATAAAAACAAAACAAGCCGACCTCCTGTCTGGTGCACTGTTTGCAATCAGCTACAATCTGGGAGAGGAGCAGCGGAGCGTCTCTCAAGGGGGCGGTGACGTCGACACTGGAGCCTTCTTCTTCTTTTTTTTAATGGCGGTTGGCAAACAACTTATAGGTGCATTACCGCCACCT